TCTTTTTGCCATGTTTAGCATAGTTTATGATTAAATCACTTTTCAAGGAAAAGCTAAAGTCAAACCTTTAATAAGTAATCTCATTTAGAATAAAATTTGCTAACTTGGAACTTAGCTTATTTGAATGTTAATATAGTTGTTAAGTAGTAAATGTGTGAATGCCAACAATATAAAGGTATAGCTTAATCACTAACACCATCTTTGTCAAGACTAATGAAATAAAATATCATTCTCTAATGAGGAAAATTGATCATTAACCATCCAGATGAAAAATTAAACTTTTTCAATATATGTATGAAGAAATGTCTAATATCATTCCAATCCCAACTTTAAAAATATTAATGTCAAAACATCCCTTCAATGTTATCAACAACAGAATAAAACTAAAAAAAGCAAGAACAAACCACTATTCAAAGCTTTTTAGTGATTAAGTTAACCAAAGTTAAAAATGTTATATTTAGTATCTAAGAAATAAACATACTTTATTAAGGATTGAATCATCACATCAATATAATCCAATACCACAAACTAAACACAAAAGGATAATATTGACAGAAGTAGAAATAATATGTTAACATGGAAAAACCATGCAAATTTAATTACACAATCCTCCACAATATCATTTGGTGAGTAAGCCTATCATTGCTAAATTTAAGCAAAGTATTATTAATTCTTGACAAAGTATACAAGAAATTACTAATTGCAAAATAATTAATAATCACTCTTCAACTTATCTTCAGAAGACCTAATGCCAAATTCACATCATCAAATTATATACTTGTTCAATAAAAAGGTAACACTCTAGATATAATATATAGAAACATAGACAAATATAGAAAAAGTGACTACTCAACTCCAATCAAGCAATTAAAAGCTAAATAATATGTCTAATTAATCACTTTTAGTATGATGAAAGAGGATAACTATAAATGATTGACACTTAGCTGGAACTAAAGTAAAAATTAATAAATTGACTCATATAGGTATACAACTTTTAATGGACAATGGCTATAGTATAGGTACTTACACCTTAACCAAAAAGAACTAAGTTATAAATTATAATCCTTAGTCAAAGTGCATCATTCTTATAGAGTTTAACCAAATGCAAGATGCAATTTACCACCGAGCATAAAGCAATAAGTGCAATAACCATTATCTACTTCAATTCCAAACTCTAATTATGTTAACCTCAAGATTAATATCGTTTCCAGGTTGCATTATACAAGCCATATACTAAAGTTTAAAAACTAAAGTCAACTTCAACCCCTTCACTAATTTATAATAACTTACTAAAATAGACCAGTTTTTGAATAGAATAATTAATAAAGAGACTATTGGAAAAGCCTACAATAATTTGTTGAAAGTTTTCCATCCTAGAAAAAAAAATGACTCTCAAACTTAACAAATTTCTTCTTACTTACAACTTCATATATGTTTATCTTAACACAAAGTTTTACAATCTAATAGAATACCTAAGCATTTAACAACATGTCTATATATTTGATATCTATCACCAACATTTGCAAATGCAATATAAATATTGAAGACTCGATCACAAAGACTAAATCTTTAGATATTTATGTCATATTAACACTTTTTTTCAATCACCCTCAAGATCTAGTGTGAAACCAAAACACTAAAAAGAATATGATATAAAAAATCAAGTTCTAAGGAAAACTTGTCATACTCAATATAATAATGTTATTTTCACTAACATAAATGCTCATAATATCAATGCCTCAATTACACAAATTTTCTATCCAACCTATTTTTAATACCAAATATAGGAATTAATCACAAAATAAAACTTAAACTTTGTCAAAGGCAACATAATTGGGACTTAAGTTTCAAAGCTTTAAACCATTAAATGAAGGGATAGAATTAAACTCTTGAATACACAAGGAGCAAAAAAATAAAAGTACGTAGCAAACTAAAACAATCTTAAAAGTTTCAGCATCCCAACATCAAAATCAACATGCAAAACTGAGCCAAACAAGATTTAACACTATTTCAATATATTAGGTTAATACAAGGATATAAGTATTCTATCAACTAACATGGTATAAAGTTTGAGTTTAAACACAAGCCAGACATAAAACAAGAATAGATATATTTAGTGAGCAACTAGACAATATCTCAAATTCATCAACTATACCCAATTTATATATTATATATTTGCCCCCATGCAAGCATGCTTTAGGTTTTCACCCCACTCCCTAAAAATAGTCTCTAGGATAAACTTGAAAATTTATTATTTAACCCAAAGACGGACCATGTACATTGGACAATTGTATAGAGTATTAAAAATATTCTCTTTCTCATGTACCATTTGGAATGATACTAAATTGCAAATCAAGAGGCATGAATAGTACTATTATATTCAAGACATTTTCTACATCCAGAATATTTATGATTTTAAATATATTTATAATATATAAACACAATTGTACAGTTTATAATTTATAAATGCAAAATTAATTAAAAACCATTAGATGGCAGAGCAAACCAAAAATAATATTTATTTAATAATTAGTAAAACTTTAACTCTTTTACTGGGAATAGGTAAAATAGGGTCATAATAAGGAGAGAGATCACTACTTTATGGACAAGCGAACAAATGAGAGATACATGGGAAATGGGCAATGGACTTACATTGTCTGTGACTATCCAACCCCTGCAATCCTGCTGCTCGGCCATGTAGTCTTAGACTCTTGCATCTTTATCTAAAACCAACCTCGTAGAGCGCCTTTGGCATCCTTTTTCTTATTAAAGTGAGACGCAGCTTTCATGCTAGCCCCTCTTCTGGTTCCCAACTCTTTTGTAATGCAGTTAAGATGCTCTTCATGGTGAAGCATTTGCTGGGCAATTACCAGTTTTTATGGTACTATGAATGTAAGATTTCGTTCTTTTGTCCAGTGGGCCTCACGGCTCTGCGAGAAGCAAAGATGCGAAGATCATGGCGTACGCAAGGAAAAGAAACACTCCAGCCGAAATAAAAAACCGGGGGTTGTCCCGGAAATGAGGAGCCGAGATTGTCCTGTGGACGAGCATTTAGATGGAGTTCTAGCACGAACTTTCTTTTCGTACCTAGCTATCTTGTGAGCAAGTCGTTGTGATGGCAAACTTTGGATGAAGACTACACCCGGTCCTGTAAGGTGAGCCTGAAATGGGCATTCACCCTGGAAGAAAGAAAAAAATCGAGAGTCTGGAAGCCAGCGACGAAGAGCGAAAAACTTACGCCGAAAAAAGCTCGTCGCGCAGCAGGACTAGCTTGCTTGATCTCGCACTCCACGGCACTTGTCATGGCCACGAGGCATCCAATGTCGACGACAAGCAATTCTCCTCTGCTTAGTTTCTTCTGCAGCACTGATAGATCAACGTGAGAAGAACACGAAGGGGAGGCAAGAGCTTCCTTTACCGGAACCACCGGCTGTGATGAAAGCGAGGCCCTGTCCTACGAGTTTCTGCGTCAAAAGTCCCTGCGACGAACGCGAAAGAATTAGATTCCCAAAGAAACATTTCCAAATGAATTAACTCCCACATCAGCTCCAAAGTACCCAACACGAACTCTTCGTGGCGTTAGATGTTTCACCGTGACGTCGTTAACAGATCCTAGGAAGGCTTCCCGCTGGGATAAAGCACCGAAAAAAGGGACTTGTCGCATAAGTATGGAGGATAATCTTACCTGACAAATAATCTCCCCACCAAATACAGCCAAGTCGATCTGCTAAGTTCTCGCCGCTAAATCTCTAGAAATACAAAGGAAAAACAGCAAAGCAAAATCGCATACCGGCAATATTCTGGCTAGTGAGGGTGCTCCTAGGCCAATGTAACCATCTTCACTTCCCGCATTTGTAAACCTGGCAGCGAAGATCAAAACGATTCCTGAAGAAAAACTGGACCAACTTACGTAGTGCTTGTATCGGGTCGTCCCATCATCCATTGCAACACACCAACACCAGCGTTTTCTTGAGGAACGTTAACTTCTGCTTGAATAGATCCAGAGGTGTAGCACATTGATCCTGGAAAACGAGAAAAAAAAAGAAAAGAAAAGAGAAAATTGTGAGTGATTCGCAAAGGGGGAAAGACAACCTGACTTTGCTTGGATTTTTTCTTGAGGTTTTAACATTATCTGAATGAGCTGTTAGAAAAAATTCCTTTTTCGAGCAGCATTCTACCTGCAGGACTTGCGCCTCAAAGCCAAATATCTGGAATGCCGTCGCGGCTGCCGATTGCTCACTCTAGGAGGAACAAGGAAAGGAAAAAAAATTCGCATTCGCATTTGCAACTATTGTCACTCACCTGGTACACATAGGGCTGGAATGGCGTAGACGACGCAGGCGCAGCCATTGCTAGCTAATCATCACAGGATCGATCACCAAAGCCTCATCAGCTCTCCCATCGCGAGACTGCTTGAAACCCTAAATTCACTAGTTTTGCTGGAACGGCCATGTGGCACGAGACGATTCGTTACACCTATGCTGACGCCAGCGCTACGAGGCTCGATTCCCACGAGACGCTTTTATTTTATATTCAAGCATTACAGTAGCCAAACTATCCTAGGTGGGAACTGGAAGACCTGCGCGAGTGATTGTTAAGAGGAAGAACAAGGTGAAAAAATGTTACTTACCAGCACAGATAGTTCCGACGCCACATTTGAGCGGTAAACTCAGCGCCTTGGTCAAATTTACCGCATTCCAGTGTCACGTTCCGTACGATCCCACAGCAATCCTCTTTGGGAACCACTGCTTAAAATCGCCCACGAGACAGTAGCCATGGATGGAGCTCGCCGGGCTAGGGCTCCAAACACGATCCACCACGCCACCAATTCAATCGCGAGCGATGATCTTTCCATTAGCGAAGGATTGCGAGACCAGCGGTGATTGATTGAAATTCACCGGTCTCTGCTCGCGCGCGGAGATTTTATACCACTCTCGATCACGCGAGGCCTGCGCGACATCCAAGGGGATCCACATTTTCACAATTAAAACGCTTAGGGTTTTATTGCTAGGGCTCTTGGATTTTAGGGTTCTTGAGCAAAATGTCGTCTGGGCGCTACGACAGGGCGATCACCGTCTTCTCGCCCGATGGCCATCTCTTCCAGGTGGAATACGCACAGGAGGCCGTGCGCAAGGGCAACGCCGCCGTCGGCGTCCGCGGCACTGACACAATCGTGCTCGGCGTGGAGAAGAAATCCACCGCCAAGCTCCAGGACGCGAGGTTCGTTTCCCTCTGATCTCTAGACCTCTAGATTTCTAGCTCCTGATTCCGAAATCTCTGTCCAGGACGGTCCACAAGATCCTGAGCCTCGACGAGCACGTCGCCCTAGCTTTCGCTGGCCTCACAGCCGACGCCAGGGTCCTGGTGAACCGGGCGAGAGTGGAATGCCAGAGCCACAGGCTCACGGTGGAAGATCCAGTCACGGTGGAGTACATCACACGCTACATCGCGGGGCTCCAGCAGAAGTACACGCAGAGCGGGGGAGTGCGGCCATTCGGGATCTCGACGCTCATCATCGGCTTCGATCCACACACTGGAGCTCCATCGCTCTACCAGACGGATCCGTCCGGGACCTTCTCGGCGTGGAAGGCAAACGCGACGGGCAGGAACTCCAACTCGGTGCGCGAGTACCTGGAGAAGAACTACACCGAGACGTCGGGCATGGACACGGTGAAGCTGGCTGTCCGAGCTCTCCTGGAGGTAAGCAAAGAGTTTTGGATCGCGCTTTCTCTAAACTTTTGGAACTTGTCTGGGTCTATAGGTTGTGGAGAGCGGTGGCAAGAACATCGAGATCGCTGTGATGACCAGACAAGGGCTCAAATTGCTGGAGGAGCCCGAGATCGAAGAGATTGTTAACGGGATCGAGGCCGAGAAGGCTGCCGCCGAGGCCGCGAAGAAAGGTCCGCCCAGAGATTCTTAAAGTCTGTGTACTCCCCGGGGTAGGAAAAAATGGGCACCTTGAACTTTCTCGGCTTGTGCTTGTAGCTCAATCGGATAGAGCATCTGTCTTCTAAACAGAATGTCGCAGGTTCGATCCCTGCCAGGCACGGGCCTTCCACAAAATCTTCTATTTTGGTTGGGATGATTACCGTGTTGCCAGAAAGTCGAATAACTCCGGCGCCTGTAGCTCAGTGGATAGAGCGTCTGTTTCCTAAGCAGAAAGTCACAGGTTCGACCCCTGTCTGGCGCGATCTTTGGTTTTTATCATTTGAACTAAACACTTAGTTTTTACTTTGCTGGTATTTTTAGGGTTCATTGTAGGGAGGGATGAATAAACCTGAATGCAATGGAGGCGATTGTCATGATCGGCCCAAGGAATTGCGTGGTGGAACTGTCGTCACGGTGAATGGCGTGGAGCTGACCGTCTATGGGAATGTGAGTGCCAGTGCATTGCAGCAGATCAATCACGCCCAGCAAGAGGATGCGTCAAACCCTAACTTATTAGATCCCGCCGATGAGGAAGAAGAAGAGGAGCGTCTGCGCCGCGAGAGCGCGATTGCGCGGGCTAATCGCGAGGACGAGGCGAGGCGATCCGCGCCAATCCCACCGGATCGGCGCGAGGCGATCATGGGTGCGATGCTGAACGTCAGCATTGGAGGTTTTTGCCCCAACTGGGCGAGCAAGGTAAACGACGAGCAGTGGATGGAGAAGCTCAAGGAGCTGAACCCTAGAAAAGGCTAGTGTGCACGAGATTTGAGCCCACGAGCTCCGTCCCTCCGGAATTGGGCGAGAATCGATCCCCCGACCTGGACACGACCCTCAAATCCCGAATTTTGTCCTCTCGTCCAGAATCTCCAATAGAATCACACAGCATTTTCTGTTATCTCTCCCCTTTTTGTTTCCGTTAAAAAAGCTCATCATATCCGGTTTGGCATTTAGCCCGATTTTTTGCTCCCAAAAGAAATTCTCGCCATACACAAAAACGAACGACTCATCGCATTAATGATTGCGAGCCCGCCACGTCGGACGCGGGATGGGCCATGGCCCATGTGAGCCACATTACGTGGCCGGCGGGGATCCATGACGTGGCGATCTATGCCCATGGCTGCCATTCAACCCGGCGCTGGGGTCCCTCTCTCTCTCTCCCCTCTCTTTTAAAAAAGGAGCGATGAAGCCTGTGAGCTCTCCTCCGCTTCCTCCTCTCTCCTCCGCCGCCGAGAAGAAGCGGTGCGCGATCCTCCATGACACCTCGTCGATCGAATCTAGTGTAGAAATGTACGCGCGCACGGCGAGCACAGCGACGACTACGAGCACGACGACGAGCGCGGCGACGAGCCACCACCACCGATCGAAGAAGCGGCGGGCGGAGCGCGTGTTTGGGATCCACACCTTCGGCGATCCGGGCTGCCCGGCCGACTACGATGGCGCATTCCGGGACAACATCCGGGCATTCCTCTCGGATTGCGCGGAGATGGAGCCCTACACGGTGGAGGGAATGCCCACCTGGTCACTGCTCCTCGAGGACGACAGGAATCTCTCCTCGGGGCGCTTGAATCTCCTCATCATGGAGGAGAGCACGGCCAATTCAATGCATCCACACTGCGACCACTGCCGCTGCATAGGTGAGGCGCGCGAATTCTCCCTTCTCCCTACTCTCACCTCGATTCGCCGCCAATTGCCACTGATTTCCATTTGGGTGTTCTTGCGTGTTCTTCGCCAGGATGGAGCCACCATCCCGTGTCGATCCGGCGCTACCACTTCATCATCCCCGGGCCAGAGATCGACGACGAGGCGGCCGCGACGCAGAGCAGCATTCTCGATCTCCAGGACCATCTCCTCCACGGCCTCCTCCACTGCAACGGTTATGGCCATCTCCTGCGCGTCAATGGCCGCGAGAAGGGATCCAAGCTCGCGTCGGGCCGGGAGATCATGGATCTCTGGGACCGAATTTGCGCCATGCTGCGCGCCAGGTAGAATTCTCTCGCTCATGGATCGATCGGTTGCTCGATCGAGGAAGAAGAAATTCCCATTATTTCTCATGATCCTGTGTGTTCTAGGAAGGTGAGCGTGGAGGACATCGCCAAGAAGAAGGGACTGGAGCTCCGGCTGCTCCACTGCGTCGCGTATGGCGAGTCGTGGTACAGCCGCTGGGGCTACAAATTCGGGCATGGCAGCTTCGGGATCACGCAGCAGATGTACTCCAAGGCGATCGAGGCCATCCGGGGGATGCCGCTCTCGGTGATGATCCAGCATTTCGACGGCGTGGACGCCGAGGTCCTGGAGATCGTGTCGCTCTACCAGAAGATGAGCGGCCAGGCCCTCCAGACGGTGGGCGATCTCGTGCGCTTCATGGTGGAGCTCAAATCCCGGCTGCCGCTCACCGCCACCGCCGCCAATTCCTCCTCCTCGTCGCTGCTCCAGCCCGCCAAGCATCAGCACCAGCACCAGCAGCTCCAGCTCCAGCAGCACCACGAACCATCGCGCAAGAGCAGCAGCCCGAATTCCAATCCACTGTCACCGCCGATCTCCTCGTTCTCGCTGGGCGCGGCCTTCTCCTCGGACATGCCGTGCCGGTGGAGCATGAAGCGGCTGGAGCTGGCGACGCAGGTGATCGTGGAGGCGCTCAAGAACTGCGACAAGAAGTGGATGCCGCGGCAAGACGTGCGCGACGCCGCGCGGGTCTACATTGGTGACACCGGATTGCTCGACTTCGTGCTCAAGTCGCTGGGCAACCGCGTCGTGGGCGGCCACGTCGTGCGCCGCGCGGTAAACCCCATCACCAAGGTGCTCGAGTACAGCCTCGAAGACGTGACGGCGTCGATCCACCACCACCCGCAGCACCACAGCAATGGTGCCGGCGGCGGTGCCATGGGAAATGGTAGTGGCGGCGGGTGTGGGAATGGCACCACCACCGCCCCCAGCGTCAAGGGCGGCGAGGTGGCGGCGGCGGTGGCGGCGGCGGCGGTATGCGACATCAGCCGCGGCGACGTGCAGCGCGACATCGTCTACATGTACAAGAACGTCCTCGAGAGCTACAAGCCGGCCAGCAAGCGCGGCGGCGGCAAGAGCATCCTCACCGCGCTGCCCACCGCCAGCCGGATCATCCTCGACACCAAGCAGCTCATCCGCGACTACTGCGGGCACAAGACGCGCAAGGCAGCCGCGGCGGCGGCCGCGGCGTCCGCGGCAGCGGGGCTGGCGGGCGGTAGCAGCAGCCGTGGCGGTAGTACTACCATCGCCGCCGGCGGCGCAAACGAGGCGTGGGAGGCGGTGGTGGTGGACGACGACGAGATGCTGCGCGTCATGTGCTGCGTCATACTGCGCGACTCGGACCCGTGCCGCAACCGGCCCAGCCCGCCGCCGGAGCTGGTGGTGCTACCGCCGCACGCCACCATCGGCGACCTCAAGCTCGAGGCCCAGCGGGGGTTCCGCGACACGTACCACATAATGCGCGGCTTCCGGGTGGACACCATCCCGGAGCTGGAGGGCGACAACGAGGACCTCCTCTTCGGGGCCATCGAGTCGGGCTCCACGCTGATCGTCCAAGGGTCCGGGGTGGACGTTTACAACGAGTGGCGCTACGAGGGTGGCAACGATAGCTGGATCGTCGACTGCCCGTGCGGCGCCAAGGACGACGATGGCGAGAGGATGATCGCGTGTGATGTGTGCGAGGTGTGGCAGCACACGCGGTGTGGCGGGATCGCGGACCCGGATCCCATCCCGGCGCGGTTTCTCTGTGCCAGGTGTGGCGAGAGCCTCTTCTCGGAGCTCAGATACTCGTGATCGATCGATCGGTCTCTCCATGATCGATCGATCGTATCGGCTATAGCCTTGGCTCACAACGCAAGTAAGCTCCTTGGTTTTTCGCGATCTGTCCCTTGTAAAACCTCTCCTTCTCTCTGTCTCTCTCTCTCTCTCTCTCTCTCGTCCTTCGTCCTTCGTCCTTATCAAAATCCTCCAGGGCAAACACTCTCAACTCGGGAGCTTACGTGAGAACTAACATATGTCCTCTTCTCTTTCCTTTGTGGGAACTTTTGTATCAAATCCTTTTAAGTAAACACAACACTTTGTACGATAATACTTTGGGTTTTCTGGATCGATTGCGAGATTCTGGGAACTTTGGTTCTCTCTGGTTTCGTTTCATATATTGGATCTGTTGCTGCTGTTGCGAGAGTTTGGACATGGGAAACGGCATTCGCCATCCAGATTGTTGCTTTGCCGCTTCCGGGAGAGCCCGCGACGGGATCGAATTATATAAGAATCCGTTTGCTGTTGCCGCTGGATCCATTTTTTAGATTGCCGTGGCAGCCGCTCGCGCTGTTGCGTTGCGTACTGCGAGTTTGTTGGATTTGAAATTTAAATGTCGGGAATATTCGCCCTCCCACAAAATCTGGCAAACCTAGCTACTTTAGCTCTCGCGGCACCACCCGCGAAATCAATTCTTGCGGAGTGTGTCTGCCAGGCACTTAATTTAAATCTCACTAATTAATCTCCCCAACAGAGCAGACAACAGGAGATAAACCGTTGCTATGGGCGGGGGAGTATATTCCCTAGGTTTAAGAAAAGGGCGGAAAGTTGACTGACCCCTTTACCTTCCCTTCCCCTTTTGGGTTTCTAGGGTTTGTGCTTTTGTTTGGGGGAGTGTCAATGACGAGGCCCCCATGCACGCAGGCCGCATGCAAAGGTGTTGTGCGTGTGGGGCGAGTTTTTTATTTGGATCTAATGAGTTGCAATAGCGTTGACTGATTGCGAATAGGCACATCCCCCTCAACTCACGCAATGCATACGCCTTAAGACCTGCTGCGCTCGATAGCTTATGGAAAATGGACTCATTCATCGCCAAAGAAATTGATTATAAGGGCCAGTAAGCTCTTGTGGGGAATTCGTGTAGTTTTTTTCCCTCCAATTTGCTGGATTCTTAGGGCAATGCGGGAATGAGCTTGCGAGTACGTCGTTTGGGCTTGCTAGATTGCTTGAGGGTTTTTTTGCTGGATTCAGTGCGGGAGACCGGGGTGGTGGCCATGGTTTTCGGCCACCCTTTGAAAGGAAATTTGGACCACGATTCTGGCGCGCTCTCACCCCAAGGCGTTTGCATTTTTAACCGCTTCCGGCGAATCTCCGGCAGTTTTTTCCCGCGCTCAATGGAGCTGCGCCAGGTGGCGGTAACCACGTGGGCGGATTTGCCTAAAGCTCGGAAGGCCTGGCGACGGGCTTGACGGGGGCTGACGGGGGTTGTCTGACCGGCGACGACCGGGATCGGATTCCCTCCGATTTGCCAAATTCCCCCTTAACGGCCACCATCAACAATCCATGATTGGCCCATGCATACGCGGCATGGGGGCATGTAACATGGCATGCCAGCTCATGGCGCATGGTCATGACGTGGCAGTACGTTTTCGGCCCCGTGCGGCTCGAACCCCGTCACACGTCACGTGAGCCGCCGGGGCCACGTGCTGCGCAAAAAAAGCTTACGCGCTGGAAATCATTCGCTTGTAACATCCCCATCGACGAGCAACAAATTAAAGAGCAAAGTATTATTATGACAAGTGAAACCAATGGCTCGTATCGCCTGCTCTCTGTTCGTGTGTGTGTGTGTGTGTGTGATTGTGTCAGAGCCACACAGCCTCTATCGATGATCGCATTTTGGGGAATCGTTCGTTTGATCGTGGATCGCTCGCTCGATCCGTCCTCGCTGGAAACGCCTGTACATGGCAAGGGACTCGCAGCAGCGGGCGAGGTGAAGAGAAACTACCGAGCGTTACTTTCGATCTCCAGAGCAACGAAAAGGAGAAAAAAAATGGAAACTTGCCTTCGTCGCAAATTCAGGGGCGATGCGAATCCCCGCTGCTGCTGTTGCTGCCAAAGTGAGCAGCCACCGCGGCAATTAGTCTCGATCTCCAAGAAGTTGGGTGATCATCCTTTTGCGCTGCAATTCGATCGCCATCGGGACGTCTGTGAAGGATAAAGTCTCGCACTCCAGCAGCATCGCCAATCCGGAGCTTATCGTCTAGAGCTGCACAAGCAAAGCAGCTAGAACACATGAAGAAATTGTAGAACAATGAATGAAAAAGCCGAGAGACATTACCTTCCGAGATGTCGTGCGCAGAATAGAGCTCGAATGGCCTGGGATCGGTTCCCAGCGGCGGGATGCGGCCTTCGTGCTCGTACTCCTGCAGCGCATGGCGGATAACGCTCTCCACAGTATCGCTCGAATCCACCACGAATCGCAATGGCCCGGCGCTATCAACAACGCTGATGCTCACCAGGAACTTGTGCGAGCCACCGTACTGCGACTGCCCGTGACGAGAAACGTGAGAAATCCCCACGAAATGTCGATATTTCGATCGCAAATTTTACCTTGGAGAATTCCTCCGGGCGATGGAGCTGCGCGGAGATGTCTGGATGGGCTAGAATCTCCGCCAGGCTCGCGTCATCCGCCTCGGCCTCCCCTCGCGCCTCCATCGATCGCTAAAACCCTAGAAAGCGGTAATGCAAACAAGAGAGTAATTCCTCCTCGTAGTTTACGGAAGCCCGTTTGCCACATCACATCGATCTCAACGGAAGAACGTTCTAGGGCTTCTCCTTCTCTTCGTCGGCGCGCTCTTCCTCCGGCGATGGCGGCGGGCGCCATTCCCAAAGGTATCCTAGTCCAACGCCATTGTCATCGCTAGATTTTGAGCGGAATAGCTGCGCTGCGCTGCGCGCTTGATCCAGTTTCGCTTGATCTGTTTCGTTCTCTCCTGTGTTGAATGCAAAGGAGGAGGAGAAATCGGTGTGCTTGTAGAAGAAATATTTGTTTGCTCTCTTGCGTTCTTCCTCTCTGTGAGCTTTTAGACCATTGTTAATGATACTGAACTGAAAGATTTTATTTTTCCTCACAGTGTAGCACATATGGATAGATAACTGGATGACATCCGATGATATCGCATCTGAATCTGATGCTCAAGCAGGTCGTGGATCTTGCACGTAAGAGCTCTGCGTATCAGATTTAATCTTGTCTAGTACTGACACTACTGTTTCCGTTTGCAGTAATCGGTTACAATACAAACACATTGCAAGCGCAAGAACCTCGTGAAGCGCCGATCGATCGTGGAGAGGCAATCACTCTAGAGTGATTGTGAGAGAGATCTCTCAGTTCCCGTGATGGAACTTCGAAAACGGCAGCCGATACTGCGAGGTGGCAATTGGTGGTGGCTTCGGATGTGGAAAATTTGGAAGAAGTGGATGCCCCCACACCTGGTTGTCGAGCCAGTTGAAAATCTCCGGACACTTTCTCCCGGTGGTAGCATGCCGGCCTTGCGCGACTCTCATCAGCGAGTGAATGTGCTCAGCCAGGAGCCTCGCATAGCTGTGGTCGTCCCGCTGGAGTGGCAAAACATCAAACTTCTCGAGCATGAGGCAGACATCCGGAGGCCGGGGAGCCGATAGAACACGTCCCAAACCGTCGATGACGCCCTCGGCCTGCATCGCTGCATGGAGCTTGGTGGAGGCATCGGATCCAAAGCCGGGGATGTGCGCAGCAAAGTAGAAGGGAGCGATCGGGAACTCCTCGCAGCAGACTTGAGCAACAGGTATGGCTTTTGCTCGCAGCAGCTGCTCGTGACTGTGGATCTTTGACGCGGTGGTCTGGTCCTTTGGCATATGGACGAACAGAACCGGAGGATAAGTTGAAGCCGGGGCCATCTTCGCTCGCTCCAGCGCCTTGTGGAGGCCCGGGGACACCATCAAGACGAGCGCCGAGAACTTGATGGTGAGCGCGAGCATGGAGAGGAAGTTGCCGCCGGAGCCGGAGCCTAGACCGACGATCGGCGCGCGCTCCAGGCCGTGCTGCGCGGTCCAGGAGACGAGGACGGACACTACGTTGTGAGCGTCCTGCGAGGCTTGCGGCGGCCAGTCCTGCCAGAAGCTCTTGACGCTCTTGATGGCGATGACGGCGTAGCCGCGGCTGAGGGCGTGCTTGACAATGGCGACGTGGTCGGGGACTCCCGTGCAATTCGGCTGCTGCGGCTGCGGCTCCCAATACGTGAGCGGCGATCCGTTTCCTTCGTGGGCGATGAACAGCACCGCGCGAGGATTTGGAGGGATCTGGGAGATGACATCAAGGTGCTGCTGCTCTTGTTGGATCATTTCTGATCGAGCGAGGCCAGCAGGAAAAAAAATTCCAAGAACACGCCGAAGAACGAGGAAGGATGTAGTGTTTAGAGTCAATCTAATAAGCTAATTGGGGGAGGGTACCTGGAGTGTAGTTACTTGGCTCGCCCAGAGATGATGGCATTTATACACTGGAGGTTCTATGGCTCGAGAATAAAATCCAAGAAACAGCCCATTCCACAGTGGAGCCCTGCCACGTGAGCGGGCATGGTATGTCAGGTGACGTGGAGGTGATGTGGACGGGAAAACTGGAAAAAACCGGCGAACGAGTAACGCGGCCAATTAGCTCGCAGAATTTCTTCAATGCCAAAAAGCAAAGGTGGTGGCGTGTCGGCATCAAAGGTATCTTTGTGCCATGTGAGTGAATTTTGACGTTTGAAGAGGTCAGATTTTTAACTGCCGTGGATAGCGTTTGGCTAACCGTGGTTAACGCGCCTCCAACGGTCGCATTTAGGGCTTGGGTTTTGGATTTTAGGGTTCTAGCGGGCGGGGCTATGGCGCCATGGCTACTGCGCTCTTGCCCGGCGCGGCGCGTGTGGCGCAGATGGCTGTCCGGCGATGCGGTTTCTCCTGGGAGGAGGACGATCGGCGATCCTGTGCGTGTGTTTGTCGTGGCTGGAGAGCCGTCCGGTGATGTGATCGGCGGGCGTCTCGTGGCGGCAATGCGAGAACTGTGGCCGGATTCTCTGCGGCTGTCTGGCATTGGTGGGTAAGTTCTTCGATTCGAGGGAACTGGCTGGCATTTGTGATTTTCATCCAGGTCTTGCATGGAGCGAGAGGGAGTGAAGAGTATTTTCGAGATGGATGATCTTGCGGTCATGGGAGTAACGGAGCTTTTGCCGCACTTGATAACGTTATCGGTAAGCTCTGTCAATTCGGTGCTTTTACTCTTTTACCAAATGCTTTGTTTGTTGTTAGAGGAGGTTGCATCAAGCCGTGGACGCCGCTGTCCGATTTGATCCACATATCATTGTGACGATCGACTCTAAAGGTTTCTCGTTTCGCTTTCTAAGAAAAATCAAAGGTACGGATATTATGCTTTGATTTTGTATTCTTGTGTGAAGTTCGCTTCCTCTTGTTTTTTCTTTCTTATGTCACCTTGCTCTTTGCTTAGATTTCTGTGCAAAGTCGAAGGTACCGGGTCCATTCTGTGTTCATTATGTATGCCCGTCCTTCTGGGCCTGGAAAGGGGGCGAGGAGAAACTTCGAAACTTGTCAGGAGTTGTGGATCACTTGCTTTGCATTCTTCCGTTTGAAGAAGGGATATGCAAGTCGAGCGGCTTAAATGCCTCGTTTGTTGGGCATCCCGTGCTGGATGACGCATTTGACTTGGCTGGTAAATCTGCTGTATGGCTAGCTTCTTGATTAGCAAAGCAACACTCCAGTTTCTTACGTCGTTTTTGCAGGATTTTAACGTGATTCAGAGCAAGTGGATGATTCACGGGAATGGCCAGAAGTTCCGGCAAGATCATAACCTTCCAAGTGGTAAAATTATCAAACTATTTCGGTTTTGTGGACTTATTTTCTCGCTTTTTTCTTGCAGAATCACCTGTTATTACAGTGCTTCCAGGAAGCCGAGCGCAGGAGCTTCATAAAATGCTCCCGATTTATGGCTCGGCATTGAAACACCTGTCTCGAAGCTTACCTGGCCTGGCTGCTATTATACCAACCGTTCCAAATCGCACGCTTACCGGGATTATTGACATGGCTGTGAGAGATTGGGGGCTGCCTGTAGTCGTCGTCCCGGGTGCCTCCCTCGAAGACAAGTACAACTCGTTCGCAGTTAAGTTTCGAAATCGCCATCTCATACTCTCATGCTCTTTGCTTTTTTTTCCTTTCGCAGGCCAGTGATGCTGCCTTGGTTACGTCGGGTACGGCAGTAATGCAGCTACAAATGTGTCGTGTGCCTTGCGTGGTTGCGTACCGAGCAAATATTTTTACCGAGTGGATCATCAAGCAGCGGACAGTGCTCAAGTATGTTTCTTTGCCAAACATTTTGCTGGACTCGCCTGCTGTTCCAGAAGCTCTTTTCTCCTCCTGCAAACCAGACCGCCTGGCATGCTTGCTTGAGTAAGAATTCACTCTTTCGCAGTTTTTGGTATTAAACTTTGTCTATCTTCACAGAAATATTCTGGAAGACCCTGTGGCTGCCAGAGAAGATCAAGCTAAAGCCGCCGAGTCGGTGCTACACATGATTCAACCGCCAGAAGCGTTACAGAGTCCAAGCCGGACGGCAGCGCGTATTGTTTTGGCTGCACTGGAGCCGTGAACACCAATTTGGAATCGAAGGCTTGTTTCTAAGTGTTGATAATGGTAAGCTCTGGTTTTTTCTTACACGGTCATTCCTTCGTTCTCAAGGTTTGCGTTTGACATAGGACAAGTAAGGATCTTGTGCTGCGGTCAAGACATCAGGCCTGTCCATTTGATCGTATGATAGGCACCTCCGGATAAAGTCCTGCACAAGGAATAGAATGAAGCGCCAGTGGAAACGAAGCGCATTACCTTGGCATCAGCGGAGACACTAGGACGCGTTGGAAACTCCACTTTCCTCGCCTTGGTGATTGTATCCTCGCGTAGAATCCTCTCCTGGCTTTGGTCATGCCCGAACGGCCTCTTCCCAAATAGCATTTGATAGAAGAGCACTCCGGCCGACCACACATCAACCTGGACGCAGTAGTTTCAATATCTATCCGCTGAAGAAATAAAAGAGAGAACAACGCACCTTTGACGATATAAGTGGTGTCTTGTTCACATCAAAACACTCGGGCGGAAGATACCTGTAACAAAGCCATGGCTCTCTAGCTTGTATTGTTTCGACAATGGAAGGAAAGTTTTACCAGTATGTCCCTGCGCCCTGAGACGTGAGTTCCATTCCCTGCGAGCCAACCTCGTCTTCCACTATTTTGCTTAGTCCGAAGTCTGTGAGTTTGGCCGCGCCAGCTTCGTCAAAGAGGACGTTCCCAGGCTTGAGATCGTAGTGGATGACGCGCTGCGATCTTCTGTTCAAGTATACGAGGCCGGAGAAGATCTGGACCATGATGCTCCGAGCTTCTCTTTCCGGAAGCACTGACGTCGATTTTAAGACGGCATCCAGATCTTTGCCTGCAAACCACGAGTAAGTCTGATGCAAAAGAAAAGCGTAGACAAACCTCCGCAGTATTGTAGCACGGTACAGAAAGTATTGTGGTCGATCTCGAAAATGTCCCACAACCTCACGATGTGAGAATGCACTAAGCTCTTGTGGATGTTGTACTCTCGGATGGCGTGACGGATGTAGTTTTGCTTCTTTTCTTCGCTCCATTGGACGTTAAGACCGTGCAGCTTGCAGGCCACATATCTGTATTCCACCATATCGTAAGCCTAACAAGCGCGACAAACATCACTTTCTGGAAAGGAAGTTGATCCCAGCTGAGTGGGGCTTACCTTGTATACTTCGCTGAAGCCGCCTTTTCCCAGGAGATTCAGCAACGCGTAACGTTTGTTGAGGATTGGAAAGTGATTGAAACGCGATCCATCTTCGTCCCTGATTCTTTTGAGCTCGCGAATGAAACAGGCTTTTTCTAGCTCATAGCGCTCGCGATCTCGCAGTGTGTTCTCCTCCTCCTGTACAAGAGTAGTCAGTAATCCCCCAAAGTGAAACATTCACAAACCCTTTTAATCGAAAAAATCCGCGCCCTGTACATCTCTTCCGTTGCTATACATTCTTCTTCGGCAAGTCCCTGATCATTTTCCGAAGCATCTGTTTTATCTGCATGAATTTTTATAAGAAATATGCTTTGCGGAAAGTAGCCAAAACCATACCGTTTTGTTTTTTCTTTAGAAGCTTTCTTTGTTTCTCAATAGCATCTTTTTGTTCCAAGAGCGATTTCTGCATAGAAAAAATATAAGCCTCAAGAACGCGCTGGCACAGAAAACTTTTGAGTTTACCAGACGAGCTTGAATGTCTTTCAATGCTTGTCCATCTTCCCAAACCTCAGACAGTAAGGTGCCTGCCCTGCCAGATGCAAGCCTATGGATACAATATCATACTTTCATAGAGTCACTTACCGCATGACTCCCACGTTTCCAAGCCGGACTGAATCCTGACGGACTCTTAATCTTGCTTCCTGCCTCTCGCCTTTTGCAACTGCTATCAGTAGATCAGACACGACCTTCAATCGCTGTGACCACACACGAGTCAGCAAAAGGCAACAACGTTCATGTCTACCTTTCGCTCCTTCTCGAGCTGTACTTCCTTCATGTCATTTATTTCCTGAGAACATTTCAAGAATGAACTCCGAAATTGCCAAAAGACACAGCAGATCACCTTCTCTAGCTGCTGGCAGGTTCTCTGGTATTGGCAAGCTTCTGATCTAGCTTTGTCAAGCTCCTCGCCAAGCCCCGCACACCTCGCATTCAATGTCATCAGGTCTTCCTGCTACCAACAGATTATCCAATGATCCTCTGTAGAAAATTTACTCCACAAGACATCTCTCAGGAAAACCTGAAATTTGCCAGGAAAAAGAAATACCTCACGAACGTATCAAATATAAAAACGTACCTTAAGTCGCTCGTCCTCCGAAAACCTCTGAGAAACAATAAGATAGAACAGTTATTACAGAGAAAAACGAAGCCCCACGAGAGCACCACTGACCTTGTGTTCCGCACCATTCCCGTTGTCAACCTTCAGGAAACGATACAGGACGCTCAAACTGAATAGAAAAGAAAAATCTACCTTTGCAGAAGGTGGTGAATGAGGACGCTTGGCCTCTTTTGCTTTTCCACCCCGGCTTCGTTGGCCCATTCCTCGGCTGCTCTTTGTTGTCCTGCCTTCTTGATCCAGCTTTTCCTCCTGGAGAAAAAAAAAAAAAAACTTAGCGAGAATGTATACGTGACTGTCCATTCGCTTACTTCTCGCGACTCGTCCATTTGAAATGTCTTTCTCTTCTGTGAGCTGGCGCTGGCTTGGATCATAAAGTCTCCAGCGTTCTGTGGCATATAATGGAAAAGAAGAAAATAGGGGGAGTTGAGATTCTGTCTAGTGGCCTAGACTTACATCTTCGTCCGAGTCTGTGGAAGAGGGAGAAGCGTCGGGAAGGGGCTTGGCGGCGGGGATAGATTTCCCAGCCATCCTGGCTTCGAGCTTGGCGAGCTTGGACGGCAGCGAGTCTGAATGGTTGGAATTGGAGGAGAGATGGAGCAGCACATTGTCGTGCATTGCCGATGGCGATCGAAAACAGCGAATGCGTCAATCCGCCAGCTGAGAGACCCGCGCTCCCCACCCCTCACAAGCCCTAAAATCACAAAAGAAATATTGGGCATCTACAACGAACGGCCGAGATCTTGGGTTTGCAAGGTCCTGTTTTAAGAATTAATAATATTAAGACAAAGTTTTCCATCAAATGCTATTCCATTGTAACCCAAAACTTTCTATATATTTGGCAATAAAATGTTTTAGGTAATGTTCCTGAAAATGCCAATTTTTTTGCAAACTTGTAGGGGGGCTAGTGGATATATTTAAAACATGGTTAGGTATTCTAGGATATTTTACTATTTAATGGTTGTTATTAATCTAAATTAATTTTGTATTTATAATTTATTTAAACACTTTCTAGTATATTCTTTTTTATTCTACCATCTAATGGTTGATATGCAATAAGATTAATCTTGTGTTTATGAATTATAAACATGTTTATAATTATAAACTTCTATTTGCTCAATTCAATTAATAAATAGGAATAACACTACTATTAATCAAACCAAGCATTGTTACATGCAACGTGTAGCAAAGTTTTTGTAATTTCATCAAAATTATTTTTATTTTCTAAAAGTGATGATTTAATTTGTATTACTAAATTCCAAACACTAGAAGACATTTTCAGAGAACACTAAGTTCTCCCTATATCACTAGTGGGGTGCATGGAATAAAAAATTAAAAATTCCCCCTTTGGAAAATTTCTCTTTAAGGGACACATATACATATGGAATTGCCCTTTAAAGGCTGGTAAAATAATTAATAGAATTTTTTTCATTAAAAGTGATTAAAACTAATGCCACTTTTTTAGTCCATTTCATTTTAATTCAAAATAACCATCACAAAATATGTTTCATCCTCCATTTTTATCTCATCTGAAGCAAATTTTTACATTTATATCAACATCACTCCCTTCTCTTCATATTTCTTTGATTTTCCTTCTGTTTCAAGTGCCTCTTTAATAACCTTATCATGCCACCAAAAATTAGAGCATCCTTCCTTTTCATACCATAAAAAATTATAACATTCCTGTTAATTCCAAGGTTTCCAAATTTCAATCTAATATAACTTTAAGTTTTTAAACTCTAAGTGAACCAATTAACTGTAACTCATCCATATAGCTATAAAGAAGATAAAGCAAAGAAGGAAAAAAAGGTGGTATAAGAGAAAGTGAAGGGAGAAAAACTCTAATTAAAAAAATGGAAATGGGCTAATTAAAAGGATCAAATTTATATCAAATTTAAAATGAAAGATGAATTTAGAAAACCTTTAAAGTGGGCTAAATTTATAGAGTGTATTAAATATGAGCTTGTGTTTAAAATCCATTCTCTAAAATTTCAATTATTAGCTTTCTGAAATTCGTGAAATTTGTGATTTGAATTTAAATAACATATGGCAACATAATGGAATAGATATTAAAAAATTTGTATAGTAGATTTTTTAAGGCCAAAACTTCGTGTGGAATATGGTCCAATTATATTATTTTGCACCAATTTTGGTTTGCTTTATATATATTATAATTCCTAAACTTTATGGGTTATTAGATCTGGTAAATCGGCACTATCAAATGAGGATAACTTTGGTAAATATGAAGAAAGAGGATTTAAGTTTTATAAATGTATTTCAAAATTTATTTCATAAAAATATTTGATTAAAGAGCACTTTGAACAGACTCGATGATTATGTTGATAAAAATTTATAAACTTCTTAGTTTAGACTTCCAGATAGATTACGTAGTCCAGTATTGCTCAAACTCAAAAATACTTAATTTAAATATTCCAATATCTTTAACTAATTAGAAAAAAAGATACACTTTTATTTATATATTTTTTCCTTTTATATTTAAATTCTTATGAATTGTTTCTTGAATTTTTTTTTTTTTGCTTAAGAAAACCTGTAGGAGATTGGAATGGTAGTGAATACTTGGATATTCTAGGATATTTTACCATCTAACAATTAGATTAATTTTGTATTTATAATTTATAAAATTTCTTAAACCCTTTCAAGTATATTCTTTTTTATTCTATCATCTAATGGTTGATAATAAATTACAAACATGCTTATAATTATCTTAATACTTTAAAACTTGTAATTATATATTTGTATATTTATAAGTTTTATCATTGTTTTATAGTTATAACTAGTTATCTTGTTTTCTATCAAAAATATTTATTAAAAATGCTAAACATCTGAAGTGTTGCAAATATAACTTTGAGTATTTACAGACACTCTCTTCTTACTGCTATGACAGTAAGAGGTCAGTACAATTATCTCCTTTTATCATTCCCATTTGAATTAGTTAAGAAATTTATTCATGTTTATGCACTTAAATTGGATAAATATAAAGTAAAAACTTTATGTGTTTCTTGCTAAACATATATCACTCTTTTACATGAAGAGTTTAGAGGTTTATTATATTAAATTTTCTCTAAAGCTTTGCAATAAAAAAGCTTCTAGTAATAAAAGCTTTGGCATTATTAATCCTGTAAGCAATTGCTCATGTAGAAATAAAATAGAATTTTCAGCATCAACATGGAACTTTTCTGGAATTGCAATGTGTTAGAGATATTATCAAACTGAAGGAACTTACTTACATCCATATATAAAAGAAGCGCCTCTAAAGGATCTGGATGCTTTTCTGTTTTACGCCTGAAACCTGATTGATAAAAATTAGAGTGAGGCAGACAACGAGAATTTCAGCCGTACCAAATCGGTCCTTTGGAACGACTTTTTGAGGCCGCACTTCCAGACTCTGCAAAAACACAAAACGCGAAAGCTTTTCATCCCCGCAAAACTCTGGGCTTTTTGATATATGAAAATAAATCCAGCTTACAAGCCTAGATGTTTTGGCAAATCCTTTAATCCATGTACCTGAGGAGTCTGGAGCTGCAATAGAACAAGCTATCGCCACACAAGCACAAGAGCGCTTAGTTAAGATAAAGCCGACACCTGCAAACACAGCCCAAAGCTGAGAGAGAGAGCCAAACTTCGAGAGTGCTGCTCTTACCTTTCAGCGCCACAAAGGCATGGAATCTTTTGTTCCTCGAACGGGAACTTGTAGTCGTACGTGAGCTCCTCTCCAACCTTAATATGCTTCTTGGAATAAATGAAAATTCTCTTCTGTCCTTCGACAGTTAGAATCTTCGTGTAGCAATTCGGCTGGAAGAGAAAAAGGAAGGTGTTAGGACTGACAAATTGGCAACGAGGATACGTGCGTCACAAGAGTGATTGATAAATCTCGCGAGGCCCCCGTGTTTGGTCGCATCCACCTAACGGAAAAAATGCGTCAGAAGAAAACACAGCACTGTGACACTTACGACGTTCTCCGCGTCTACTCTAAACAAGTAACTGCTATCGATCCCCATCTTTTCGTATCGACGCTCACGCAAGTCCGCCACCTAAAGAATCATCGTCAGTAGTTCGCCTCCAAACAAGCAAAGATCATACTCACTTTCGAACGAACCAGCTCGCCAATGTACTCGATGACAAAATCTTCAGGCTCTATAGACTGAAGCGCAATCACGCCCCAGGAATGTATCTTGCTGCGCTGAAACTTCAAACTCTTCGTGCGGGCCTGCATGAAGAGAAGAGAACAAGCTTTAGCATACGTCTCGAAAACCAGTAATGCACCTTAAAATGTGTTCCCAGCAATCGGTTTTCCACTCTGTTTCTTCTGCTCCGTTGGACTTGAGAGGATGCTGCTGTCTTTCTATTCTCATGTTGATGGTGGCGGAGCTGTTGTGGTTGTAGATGATGTTGTTGTTGAACAGCAGCTGTTTTGGTAGGATGTCTTGCCTTACCAGGCCATTCCCGCCATTGCCATCCGCTCAGCCCGTAGCACCGCGCACAGCTTACTGAAGCCAAAGGATCTGCTTCTTTTGCATCACCCTCTACGCTGATCGTCATGTCCAGATCTCTGTACTTCGCACTAAGTTCAGCAGCCTCCAAGACTTTACGCTGAAAAGTGTCTTCATCGAGTTCGATCAGCGGCGCTGCTTCTCCAGTCTCGTCTTGTCCTTTCTCCTCCTCGACGACTATCACTGTGCTTGATGGTTTATCAGAGAAAAGCCCCGGAATCTTGTTCTCCTGATCTTGTTCAGTTGTTTCCTCTTCGACCACAGCTGCTGGCATTTCTCCTCCATGCTCTTGTGGACTTTCTTCTTTCTTTTCGGTTCTCTCCATCATATGCGATTCAAGAACCTGTTCCAGCTTCTTCAAACGTTTCCGTGGAATACGTTCCAGGGCTACTTCGTCACGTAAAGCCGCTCCACTATCTTCCCCCGCCATCACGCCCGAAGCCACACGCTTCTTCGATTTCTTTCGTCGTCCCCCGTCGTTATCCTTGTGTGACTTACGTTTTTTCTTAACCACTTGCTTTCCAGCTTTCACCACGTTCACTTCTGGAGACCTCTCTTCCTTATTTGACATGTCGGCCGCTGGATGTGTCTCAAGAAGCGAGCACTGAGACTGATAGTCGGCGGCGACAGCATCTTGCATTTCGCTGTTTTGGAGTTTTCCCTGTTCCTTGTTCTCCACAGATGGAGTTTGTTCCAGCTCCTTCCGCTTCTTGAGGCGTTTTCGTGGAACACGTTCATCTGCAGCTTCTTCTCTTACGGTTGCTCCATTTTCTTCGATGTCCGTACTTGGTGCATGCTTCGTCGCTTTATTTCGTCGCTTCCCGTCTTCTTGCTTATGCGACTTTCGTGGAAGCATAGGCTGATCACAGGCCGTTTTATCAACATCGCACTCAGTAGGTGCATCATCCTGAAAAGAAACTCCAGTTAGTTGCCAATTGCGAAGAAAAAACACTAACCAATTTCTGACAGAGAGCTTCTTGCTCAATCTGGGATTTTTTCCGACTCTCCTGCTGCAAGATCCACCCATTTAAATACTGTCCGACGGCAGCATCTAGTATCGTTCGTTTAGCTGCCTCGACAACAGTTGTATGAAGCCTTTTTTGTATACTCTCCAGCGTTAGGATCTCGGCTCTTGTTGTTTGCCGAACTTCCCCTTGTGCTTGCTCAAATACTGGCTCCTGCAACAATAAAATGTTGGACGAGAGAAAACGTCGTACTATAGAACGCTAACCTTATCACAATCTGGTTTATGAGCTGTTGGTTCCGCATGTGATGCCACAGGAGCACTGGCCTCAGCCTTGACAGATCCAGTGGCTGGATAGCTGTCGTTTTGTAAAGATCTTCCCCGCTTCCGCCTGGAACTCAAGCACGCGTCCACGAGATCATCGACAATTTCATCGACGACATCCAAATACAGATTGGTTTGGACGTGGCTCAACGATGGATTATCGTCCGGTGTCGAATCCTGCATGGCTACCTTGGCTTGAATCAAATCTCCGAGAGCTTGCTGGTCGGCTAGTTCCAAAAGATTGCCGAGAGCAAAGCATGCGATTTGGACATGCACATGCATGACCTTCATAAACAACAGGAAAGAAGTTAGTCCAACTTAGAGAATAGCGTTGGATTTTACCTCGCACCATCCATTTACGTAACCATCGTGAAGCTTGCTAGCAAGCGTCAGCAGCGAGAAAGGACCCTGCATTTCTCCACTTTGAGATTTATAGGACCAGTAAGGATCACGCCAGAGCTGAAGAAAGGAAATACACAGAACTTTGTGAGCCACACAGAAGATAGAAAGGAAAGGAAAAAAAAACAGAGAGGAAGCTTACTTTGTAGTTGGATCTTGCGTTCTTCTCTGCCTGGATAGCATGCAAACGTTTCTCTCCTTTGGGGCAGCGAAAGTACGTATGTCCCCCTTCACCACAAGTGTAGCACCTATTTTCCTTCCTAAACTTCTCCTTTTCTTCTTCTGTCAATCTCCTCGTAAAACCCCCGGAGAGACTTTGAGCAGGATTGACACCAACCGGACTGGCAGTCGTCTCTCTAAAACCCGGTGGCAGATCTTCTTCTCCAGGAGGAGCAGCAGCGCAATTGCCACTGCTGCTATTCACCGAAATTTCAATCCCGCGACTGGCAGCGTCGGGCTTAGACGAACCCCCAGACCTCGAAAAGCAACTGGATAGCCTCGATTTCGCGATCTCAGGCGCGGAGCTTCTCTGCGCGCCAGCAGCGGCACCATCGTCTCCCTCTCGGCCTCTAGATTTCCTCTTTTGCGTCACATCCCGCTTGTCCTGCCCTTTCTTCTTCCTTGCCTTGTCCATGAATCTAGAAGCGCCGCTAATTTCATCGGATCATACCTCTCGTCTTGAATGTAGATCGACTCCGGCCATGCTCGCGCGAATTCTCCCAAGAACAAGCTCAATTGGATCGCGCTCTACCTAAAGAGATCCGCCATAGCTTAGGGCTAGGGCCATGCTTTTATGTAAAAGGGTATATTCTCCTCGCCCGATCCAGCCCTGGACGCGACGACGCCGGCGATCGATCGATAGGGATGCTGGCCTGATCGCGCAACACCGCTGTGAGTGCTCCATCGATCTCTGTGAGTATTTTGCTCGGTCATAGGGGTTTTAGAGGGTTTTTAGAAGCCTAGATCGGCGCATTCTTCCTCCTGGCCGATCCTGGTATGGCTTTTTGGTGTCTGGAGTTTTGCATTGCTGGGGCTGTTCTTGGGAGATTTTTCTTAGTGCTGGCTTGATTGGAAGCAATTGTTCCTGGGAGTCTCTCTTTGATCTTAGATTGTTTTTCTAGTTTTTTCTTTGCTCTTGGCTTACGTTTTCCTTGCAGGCTTGTAAAAGATGGTGAGAAGCTTCGCATTGGCAGCCTTGGTGGTGTTCGTGTTCCTTGCTCTCAACACGGTGACATGCTTTAAGAGCGAGGAGTTTCGAAAGTGCCAGCAGACTCCCTTTTGCAAGGACTCTCGCGCTCGCAAACCCGGGACCTCTGGATTCCGAGCCTCGCCCGCCGAAGTTGTGGATGGATTCGTGCAAGCACGGCTAATCCCCGAGAATTCCACCGGGTCAGACAACTTGGTGCTCAAGCTCATTGTGTATCAAGGTGGTGTGCTGCGGATCAAAGTCGACCAAGAGAACGTCCCCGGAGGAAAAAAGCGTTTCGAAGTCCCCGACGTTCTTGTGGACGGTTTAGAGAAGAAGCGGCTCTGGCTCCAGCGGATCACAGCGAAAGATGGACTCTCAACGTTCTACCTATCTTCCGGTCATGAAGTCGTGTTGCAACACGAGCCGTTCCAGGTGTATGTCACCAGAGGACAGGAAAAGCTTGTGTCCATCAACGGCAAAGGCTTGTTTCACTTCGAGCAGCGCCGGGAGAAGCAAGAAGGCGAGAACTGGGAGGAACACTTCCGAAGCCACACTGACTCGAGGCCATATGGACCTCAATCCATCGGCTTCGACGTTTCTTTCCACGGTGCCGAGCACGTCTACGGGATTCCAGAGCGAGCAACGAGCTTGGCCTTGAAGCCGACGAGAGGGACGGAAGAACACTCGGAGCCTTATCGACTCTTCAACCTGGACGTGTTCGAGTACCTCGCCGAGTCGCCATTCGGGCTGTATGGATCCATCCCGTTTATGCTCTCTCACGGCTCCAAGAGGACCTCGGGGTTCTTCTGGCTCAACGCGGCGGAGATGCTCGTCGACGTTTTATCACCAGGCTGGGACGGTGCCGCCGCGGAGGAGTCCAAGCAAGGCATCGACACTCATTGGTTTGCGGAGGCTGGGATCGTGGACGCTTTCGTTTTCGTTGGTCCTGGACCCAAGGACGTGGTGCAGCAGTACACCGGTGTCACTGGAACAACAGCGATGCCACCATTTTTCTCCATCGGATATCATCAGTGCCGCTGGAACTACAAGGACGAAGCTGATGTTGCTCAGGTTGATGCGAAGTTTGACGAGTATGATATCCCGTATGATGTCATCTGGCTGGATATCGAGCACACCGATGGCAAGCGCTACTTCACTTGGGATCCGATCACTTTTCCCACTCCAAAGGAGATGCAAGCTAAGCTCGAGGCTAAAGGTCGGCATATGGTGGCGATAGTGGATCCACACATCAAGAGGGACGAAGGCTTTGCTCTCCACAAAGAAGCTACGTCCAAAGGCTACTACGTGAAAAACTCGCATGGAAGCGACTACGATGGCTGGTGCTGGCCGGGCTCGTCGTCCTACCCCGACTTGGTGAATCCGGAGATTCGTGCTTGGTGGGCGGAGAAGTTCACGCTGAAGAACTACGTTGGCTCAACGTCGATTCTTCACATTTGGAATGACATGAACGAGCCATCCGTGTTTAATGGGCCGGAGGTACGTTTGCTCGATTTTTTCTTCAGGGATTCACGTTTGCTTCCAGGTTTCCATGCCGCGAGACAACCTTCACTATAACGGCATTGAGCACCGTGACGTTCACAATGCTTATGGTTACTATTTCCATATGGCCACAACGCAAGGCCTTCGGAATCGCGAAGGCCAGAGACCATTTGTTCTGTCAAGAGCTGTCTTTGCCGGAACTCAGAAGATTGGTCCCATTTGGACTGGTGATAACACTGCAGACTGGGAACAGCTCAGAGTTTCAGTGCCTATGATTTTGTCACTCGGGATAACTGGAATCGCGTTCACAGGTATGATACATTTCTATCAAAGACATCCTTGACAATGCTCTTCCAGGGGCGGATGTTGGAGGATTCTTTGGGAATCCTAGTTCGGAGTTACTGACTCGCTGGTATCAGCTAGGAGCGTTTTATCCCTTTTTTAGAGCTCATGCTCACCTTGACACAAAGCGGAGAGAACCATGGATTCCTGGGTATGAAGTTCTTTGCTAGCTTTTCCTAAGAAGGCTATGAAAAACTGCTTTTTTGTTGTGCAGGGAGCCATACACGTCCCGGATTCGTGAAGCCATTCATACACGCTATACACTGCTCCCTTACTACTACACTCTTTTCCGGGAAGCGCACGAAACAGGCATTCCTGTGATGCGACCACTTTGGTTTGAGCATCCAAACGATCCCGAGACGTTTGCAATGGACGACGAGTTCCTTATCGGCGATGCACTGCTCGTCCGCAGCGTGTACACGGAAGTAAGTTGTAAACTTCTGCTTGAGAAGAAAATAAAATGTTTTCCAACTTCGTTGCTGTTTTCAGGGATCGAATTTGGAGACGGTCTATCTGCCAGGATCCGAGCCATGGTTTGACATAAAGACCGGCCAAAGTTTCAATGGTGGCAAAACTTACAAGCTCGCTGTCTCACAAGACTCCATCCCTGCATTCCAGCGGGGTGGAACGATAATTCCTCGCAAGGACAGGTTTAGGCGCAGCTCATCCCAGATGGTGGATGATCCATACACTTTGGTAAGCCATCTTCTTTTACTTCCATCGCTTGAACGAGAATCTCACGAAGCACAAACTTTTATAGGTGATCGCGCTAAACTCTACTCAAGAAGCACAAGGAGAGCTCTACATCGACGACGGCAAGAGCTACGAGTTTGAGAAAGGAGCTTTCATCCACCGTCGCTTTAGCTTCTCGGGAGGCAAACTCTCCTCGTCCTCGGCCTCACCAGCCAGCAAGAGCTACAAGACTCTCTCCACGGTCGAGAGGATCATCATCCTGGGCCTGGATGCAAAGAAAGTCCCGGCAGCACACCGAGCTCTTGTGGAGGAGGGGGGCCAAGACAGGCAGGCCGACATCGAGGCAGCGCCTCCGGTCTTGCGAGCCAAGCTCAAATCCAACGCTGTGGCCGTCAGGCTGCCAAACGTATCCATCGACAAAGATTGGTCCATTAAAGTCTTGTAAAACCAAAGACTTGGAGAACTTGTCATAAGAGCTTTAACAAAAATGTTTCTCATGATCTGGAAGAACAAAAAGAAAGCTTCGAGTACCTCGGAGAGAAGAGCATCACCGCCGGCCTTTCTTCTTGTTCTTGCCGCCACCTCTTGTCTCGGCAGGCTTGGAAGTGCTGGGACCATTCGATCCTGCTGCTGCTCCTGCTGCACCTGCTGCTACTGCCGAGGAAGAGGAAGTGTCCCTGGAAATCGCTCCTTGAGACCCTCTCAGCTGTGCAGTGCGCTTGTCCTTCTTCTTGGGCCTGTAGTAAGACCGCTCCCGCATTGGCATCCACCTCTCTGGATCCGGCGGCGGCCCCGGGTTCTCTGGATCGTAGCCTTTCGGATACCGAGGCTTTCTCTTCCTCTTCTTCTTCTTTTCCTCGGCTGGTTTCTCCTCGACGTTCGCTTGAATCGTTTTACTGCCACCCGGAACCACAGAGCTCTCTTCAAGCTTGCTTGCGTCCACCACCTTTACGTCCGGGAGCTGTTTCTCAAAGGTCTCTCCTTTGGCCACGTCGGTCTCGGCAAAGCAGGAGACGAGCCCCGTGATGGCTTCCAGCCCGACTGCCTTGGAAGAAGAGCTCTTTGCAAGCCTTTCATATAACTCAGCCGCCCCTGCAAAGTCCTTCGTCTTCAGCTTTAGCTTCGCAGCCTCGTGCAGCAGCAGCTCTACTATCTCGTCCCTCGTCTCCTCCATATTGTCTTCCCACCATTTCACAGACTCGAGCAGGATGGTTTGGGCCGCTTGCACGTCGCCTCCGCGTTCCTTGAGATCAACTGCCGTCGCCACTATCGCTGGCATATGCCTGATATCTGTGGCCTTTCGGAGGACGTCCGCAGCTTCCAGATAGTGTCCAGCAGTGGTCCTGGCTTGCGCACACAGGAGCAACGGCTCAACGGTGCTTTCGGTGTTTTTCTCTGCGTACTCCCCCAAAACTTCTTCCGCAAGATCGATTTTTCCTTCTTTCAATGACAAGCAGGCCTTGAGAACAACGGGCATGCTGCTGCCGCTGTATTCTTCCACGAGTGATGGTATAAGTTCGCGCGCCTGGAACAGCAAGAATGTTTAAGAAAAAAAGAGCGGCAGATAATCGGAAAGCTCACCTGGTTAAGTTTGTTGGTGCTGAGAAGCAGTAGAAAGTAATTATAGACTAGAGCCTCTTTCTGATTGATGGACATCTTCTGTCCCAAGGCTTCGGGAAACTGGAGACGTTTACCATCTGCATCCTTCTTCAGGACAACTTCGAGCTTCCTTAAGGAGTCGGATGCATCCTTGTTTTTGCGAATAGCTGCGAGATTGTTCGAAACCACAGCCAAGGTTGGCAGGTCCTTCTCCTTCAAATCTCTGTTCAAGATTGCAAGGCAACTCTCCGTGGCCTCGGTTGCACGTCCTTGTAACTGAGACAAACATGTCATAAGAATCGAGCCGCATGGAAAACTAGAGTGTGGTTACCTGTAGCACATAGGCCAGCTGAGCTGTTACTGGAGCAAGCTCGTCCTCAATCTCATCTTCGCTGTACTCGTCCTCGAGCAGCATTTCCTGCCCGAGTCTACGTGCCAGAAGTAGATGCTCTTCGGCTTGCGAGAGCTCTTCTTGGTCTATCAAAACGCATGCGACGTTATATGCCAGCTCGAAAAGAGTTTTCGGATTGACTTGCATCGATCGCATGCGCTCGAAAGCCTCCCTGGATCTTCCTCCAGAGACATAGGCAGCAATAGCATTGCTCTTCACTTCGCTCGACTCGATCCCAAACTCGCGGTGAAGGGTCTCGTAAGTTTCAACGCAGGAGTTAAGATCACCTGTCTTGAAGAGAGTCTGGGCTTTGAGTTGGAGAACACCTGGGCTGTTTTCCACTCCTTGTAAGATCTGTAAGACCTCCGCGAAGCGACCAAGACGGTACAAGCAATATGCCTACAAAGGAAAAAACAAAGGTCATGAAAAACGCTTGATTGGAGAAGAACAATGTTTCAATCCTCACCTTCTCAAATTTCAGATCCACCACCGATCCTGCCGAGTGGATCGCAGCCAAAGCATCGCCAAAGCTGTCACTGTTGATCAGAGCAACCACTTTGCAATTCAGCGCATCCGGATCATCTGGATGCACCGCCAGCACTACACAAGCGAAAAACACATCGCATTTAGCATTCTCTTCGCAAAAAATCCACACCTTGCTCGGCGATCTTGAGAATTTGCTTGTAGTTCTTCCTGGAGCTCTTGAGCAGCGCTTCCAGCTGCGCCAGCTGATCGTGGAGCGCATCATCGTCGGGCTGCTGCGGCGGAGCTGAGACGCCTCCTCCCTTCCACATTGAAGAACCCTAGATGAGCTAAACCAAACCCTATCGCGGTAGTAGCTTTTATTTTATTTTGCTGGGAAGGAATGGCGATGGCGCCCGACCAGCAGGCGCTTCCGCCAGGACTGGAGAATGTGTTCCAGCAGTCCTATGTCTCGGATCTACTCTCCTATCCGCTGGATCGCCTCCACAAGGTAAGTCTAGATCTAGTTCTTGACGAAATATTTCTAGATCTATCGGACCGATTGTAGGAACCGGAGCTCCTGCGGGTCGATGCCGAGCGGATCTCTCGCCAGATGCAAGAGGTCGCGGTGGGGCATTATCGAGCATTCATCACGGCGGCTGAATCGCTCCAGTTCATCACCAAGGAAGTGGCTAGTATCGATCAGCATGTGGAATCCCTGGTGAAGTACATTTATCTGGATTTTCTTGATGATTCGTTTCACTCGCTTGTGTGTTCTTATATTGTTTGCGATGATTTTAGCTCTGAGATGATTTTTCTGATGTGTTCTTGAGATGGTTTGTTCAGTTGTTTTCGATTGCCTGAGATGATTCTTGTGCTAGATTTTTATCGCTCGGCATGGTTTGTGTGCTCCTGATTTTTTCGCTTAGATTTTCTTTTGTTAACTTGTTCGTATCTTAGATTGCAGAGATTCCTAAGCTGACCGCCGGCTGCAATGAATTCATGGATTCGGCTCAGCAAATTCTTGAGAAACGCAAGCTTAACAGGACATTGCTTGCGAACCATAGTACTCTGCTGGATTTGCTTGAGATCCCTCAGCTGATGGATACGTAAGTACCTTACATTAGCGGGCTTATTTTCTCTGTCTTTACTTTTGTTTGAGTCAGATTTCAGGTGTGTGCGGAATGGTAACTATGACGAGGCTCTTGATCTTGAGGCGTTCGTGGCAAAGCTCGCCACCATGCATATGAGGTGCGTCAATCTAGTTTGCGGTATTTTTTCTCGTCTCATCTTTGTAGTTGCTTTATAGACTACCAGTCATCCAGTCTCTCGTAGCAGATGTGAGACAAAACACGCAGTCTCTTCTTGCACAGCTCCTCCAGAGGTTGCGGTCCAATATTCAGGTATTTTTCGTGGAACAGTCGAATGCTTTGTTGAGCTTTGAATGTTGTAGGTTCCCGAGTGCCTCAGAATAATAGGATATCTACGTAGACTGGGAGTTTTCCACGACATTGAGCTGCGGTTGCAAGTAAGCTACCTTCCAGTTTTAATGCTCGTGAGCACCTATAAAATTGATGCTTTTCAGTTTTTAAAATGTAGGGAGGCCTGGCTTGCTGGCCTTCTCGACGATTTGGACCAAGGCAGTCCTTACATGTATTTGAAGAGCATGACCGAGTGCCATCGTGTGAACATTCACGATGTTGTCACTCAATATCGTGCTATTTTTTCAGATGACACTTCTGAGCCCTCGGATGGTGGCCTCCTGTTTAGCTGGGCAACACATCGCATAACCTGCCTGTTGGACACACTGCGCGAGTTGCTTCCCAAAGTCACCGAGGGTGCATCCTTGGCTCTTATTTTAGACTTGTGCATGGTACGTTGAGCATCCTATGTCTAGTCTTTGCTTCAACGTTTTGAGCTTTTGGCAGTACTGCGGGGTGAGTCTTGGCCGGGTGGGTCTCGACTTTAGAGGTCTTTTGCCACCAATTTTTGAATCGTAAGTTATCTTGAGCTCTTCCGGGGGATAGTTCTTATTGGTGATTGTCTTTTGCAGGTGCGTGTATGACTTGTTTGTGCGGAACTTGTCGATAGCGTTGCAAAACTTCCAGGTAATTCTTCTTCAGCAAGTGTTGAGAGGAAGAATAAACTTTTATGTCTACAGCTCATGCTCGATTCCCACCGCTGGGTTCCTTTGCCTTCAGTTAGATTGTCCAGCAGAGATTCCGAGGACAAGAACGCCCCTCCTCAGTCTCTCATCGAACATCCACCTCTAGCCGTGTTTGTCAACGGTACGTGCCACTTCCTCTCGTGAGCCGCTCACAATCGTGTTTTCACAGGCATTCTGGCAGCTCTTAACGAACTAAGGCTATGTGCTCCTGTGAGCTTGTCAAACAGGCTAGCGCTCGAGTTCCAGAAAGCACTGTGCAGTGTCTCGGATTCCCTGCTGCGCTACTCCTCGACGCGGATTCTCAAGGACAGCGAAGCGAATCTCTTCATGTCCTCGTGCCGTGCGTACGTGGAGGTAAGCGGGCCAACCAACCGATAAGATGATCCAACACTAACAACTCTCTACTCAGGTAGCTTCTCCATACTGTGTCGCGTGTTTCAGTCGCTGCTATCCATCCGCAATCACTGACACGAAAGCCAGTAGCGACGGTCTCCGGAAGCTAGTTTCATCGATGCCGGCCGAGAACGGATCTCCAGCGAGACTCCGAAGTGTTCCTGGAGTCGTGGAGAACATAATCACCACTTCAGCAAATGGTAACTGAAACGACAGCGCCGTTTTCTGGCTAGCGTGGACGGGGATTATAAATAAACTAATTATGGCGTGCAATTCGTAAAAGGGTGGATTTTACAATGGTGGATTTCACTCACACCACGTGTGTTCATAGCAAGCATAAGTGATATATACTGTTTGAAGTCATGTCTCTAATGCATCCCATTAAGCTTATCCTTCGTTGCCATTGATTTCTAGTGTAGCTCTCTCAACACTTTAGTTTTGTACCATGATGCTTAGAAGATTTACATATAACTCAAAAGTAGGTTGAAGTTTAATCAATTCCATGAATTGGTGGGGCAATTGTGTATTACACAAAGGTGCATAGTGTTAATGTTTGGACGTGAAGTTCTCTCAAGAGGAGCATGCAAAAGGAGATTTGAGAATATGGAAGTTGCAATTGCATGCAGTAACATTCAAATAACAATGGACACTTTCAACATTTTCTAATCATAATTGTTTTAAATTTTGAAATTTGTAAAATGGGTTTCCATGTTGTTTCGACATCGCGTTTTCTAGATTTTCTTGCAACTCAATAATGTAAAACTCATGTAAACAACACGTGTTTTTTGGCTGGAGAAGAAATGACGACAAAAACACCGTGTGGTTCCCACATGCTGGGCAAGAAGGGCAATGGTGGGTATAAATCCACACATTATCAATTTGGTTGATCACGAAATGGCAAGAAACAAGGAGAAGAGGAAAGTCTTGTGGTCACCTGAGGAAGACTCTATACTTCTCGACTATGTTACCACCAAAGGCATTACATTTTGGAGTAGCGTGCCAAACGAGACGGGTAATCGATATCCATAGCTTTTTTTCTGGTTCTCAAGCCACCTTTCTTGGTGATCAGGGCTCCAGCGTTGCGGGAAGAGCTGCCGGCTACGGTGGAGGAATTACCTCCGGCCAGATCTTCGCAAGGATCCTTTCACCGCGGACGAGAAGAAGAAGATTGTGGAGCTACGCTCGCTGATGGGCAACAGGTACAGAGATTTTAACGCTTGCGCATGGCAAATGGAATGGATGTTGCTTGCTTTTACAGGTGGGCCGTGATTGCCGCCGCGCTCCCCGGAAGAACAGACAACGATGTCAAGAACTTCTGGTATTCGATCCTGCGGAAGAGCCAGAGCAAGAAGCGCAAATTCCAAGCGCCATTGCAATTGCCCCTGGCTGCTGCTGCTGCCACGGATTCCTCGATCGCGAGCGCTGGACGCCCCGACACTCCATCGGGCAAATCCAATCCCAGCTCCGAGGATTTGGGCGTGGAGCTCGCAGAGGAGCTCACCAATCTAGATGATGAGACGAGTAGCAGCGTAGAATTTTGGAGAGAATGCTATCGATTAGCCATCAAAGCTATGAATCCCATCCCAGCCGAGAAAAACACTCGATCACTCGATCATCGATAGAAAGAACTTCCAAATCATCACTCTTTTCACATCACAAACACGTGCTGTTAAAAAAAAAAGCCTAGCCTTGTTCTTGTCTTTTCTGTCAGCCGTACGATACCGTCCATCCGACGGAGAAATGAAGCGCCAAACCGTGATTAATCGCGGCCGTTGTTGCGGTGAGCTTCATCCGACGGCTCTAATCTCGCCCTTCTTTTCCATGGGCTTTAGCTTATTAATGTTTTAGCGAGAGAGGAGGGTTTGAGTAGGGCGCCGGGGGGGACGGAGCTGCGGGAATGTATCCATCTCCGGCATGGCGAGCAGGGAATGCGTAGCGGATCGTCGCGCGCTTGGCTGAAATTTTGTGTCTTCGAACATGGAATCGGGTAGGGATCGAGCTCTTTTGCTGGCGCTGGCTGTCGCGGGCGGCTTCGCAGCGGGGACAGCAGCGGCCATGACGGCTACGACGTTCCCGTATCTCTTTGGGGCCGCCTTCGCCGCCCTGAGATCTAAGCGGAAGAGGGAGCTGCGTGAGCATCGGCATCGCTACAAGTCGGACAAGGTGAAGAGATTGTCTGGGAAGCCCAAAGAGGGCAAGGCTTACAGGGACGCCATTCGCAAGTCAATTGCCGAGTGGAAGGATATCGACGTCGAGCTCGACAATTTTCCATACTTTCTCAAGTGAGCCCTCGATCTTCTTCTCTGTTTTTCCTTCTCATGCGTGCTGCTTACAGTGAGAGTACCAAGACAGCGTTGCTGGATTCACTCTACGTCTATCTAAAGAGACCGGAGTTTGTGAAATTCACGTCGGAGCTAGCGTCTGTGAGCCCCCGGATACTGTTGACAGGACCTCCAGGTTCGTGGTTTAGGTCTTTGCGTGTTGGTTTCACTTTCACTTAATTCAATTGCATGCCAGGCTCGGAAATCTTTCAAGAAACACTTGTCAAGGCTTTGGCTCAGAAGCTCCAAGTGAACCTGCTTATCTTTGACAGTGCCAGCATTTGTTTGGAGGTACCATCAATTTTAGCAGCGCTATCATAGAAAGTTTGTTCACAGGCTAACGAACTCACGCCGGAGCCCGTAAGCGTCTCGGAGGAGACCGTGGAAAGTGATGAGGTGACCATTCAAATTGTAGATGGTGAAAATGTGGATACGAAAGAGGTTCGCTGTTCTTCTGTTCGTGTGATTTTTCAT